TTTGATTCTGAGCTTCATCCACTCTATGTTGTTTCCCTATAAATTGTTCTTTGTTTCAGTTAGCATATCTTTCATTTCTGACTAGATCTCTTTTATGCTGTTGAGTTCCACACTAAGTTCTTTGAGCATCCTCATTACCAATGTTTTGAACTCTGCATCTGATAGATTAATTATCTCTATTTTGCTTAGTTCTTTTTCTGGAGTTTTGATCTTTTTTTTTGCGGGGGGGCCATGTTTCTTTATGTCCTCATTTTGGCAGCCTTCCTGTGTTCCTATGTATTGGGTAGAGCTGCTGTAACTCCCTGTCTTGGTAGCATGGCCTAATGTGGTAGGTGTCCTGTATGGTTCAATGGCACAGCCTCCCTTATCACCCAAGCTGTACTCGAGGTGCGCCCTTCATGTGGGCTGAATCACCCTCCTCTTGTAGTTGAGCCCTGGTTGCTGCTGGCAGGTCAATGGGAGGGATTTACCCAGGCCAGTCAGCTTCAAGTACTGGCTGTGACCACTGTCCATCCTCCATGGAGGGTCAGCTGTGCAAGGGCAGGGTTGTGGTGCTCCAGCATGGTCTTAGTTGTATACTGGGTGCACTGGTTCTGGGGTTGCCTGGGTGGTGCTGGCCAAGGTCAGCCCCCACCTGTGTTTTGCCCAGGGCCACCCTGCTTGGGTTATAAAGCAATCTGAGATGATTGCTAATCATGCCAGCCTTGGAGATTCCCAGGCAAGGCCAAGCTGTGAATCTAGGCAGTCTGCTGCTATTGCTGGGCCTGGAACCACTTAGCAAGAGGCACAGGGGCTGGAGGCTTAGTAAGGCCAACTATGTCGTGTTTGATAGGATTTATGTAGTTTTGAAGCATGAGCCAAGACCAGCCATTCATATGGAAAAGTCACAGTTAACAGATTGGGTCAGCCTGTACATTGGGTGGGTCAGATTCTCAGGGGATCTCCATGGTGGTACAGTTTTAGCGAAATGGGTGGAATCTCAGAGAAGGCACTCACCTGCTGCCCCTGTGGCTCAGAGCGGGGAGCTCAGAAAAGGGACAATGGCCTCTGTCATCTTTCTCTCTGGGAAAAAGCTGTCCCCCTGCTCTCACCCTGATGCCAGACACTTCAGTTCCTCCTTGTATGCCATGGTGCCTTTCAAGCTTCTACCCCAGTGCTGGAGCTCAGAGGGAGTGAGTCTGAGTAAGTCCTTGTGGGAGTTCTTTAAGAAGAACTGCTTTGGACTCCAGAAGTTTCTTCCACCAACTCAATCCCCATTGGTTTTTGCAGTCAGAAGTTATGGAGATTAATCTTCCTGGTACTGGAACCCTGGACTGCGGGACCTGGTGTGGGGCTGGGACTTCTCGTTCTGGAGGTATCCTTCCCAAATTTTTACCCACCCCACATGGATGTGGGACCAGCCTGTTCTGTGTCTCTGCCTCTACCAGTCTGGATGGATGTGGTTTCTTTAATTTCATATCCATTCAGCTCAATTTCTGACGGCTCTGAGTGATGGTTGTTGTATATTTTAGTTGTAATTTTACTGTGGTTGTGTAAGGAGGCTTGCTGTGTTTACCTGTGCTGCCACCTTGACCAGAAATCTCCTACTGTTATTTTTTTTTTTAAGAAAGAAAGAAATCATCTTATATGTAGACAACTCTTTGGTGGCATTTGGCTGTGAAGAGGAGTTTAGAAATAGAGCCACACCAGAGTGGGGGTGGCAGGGGTGGTGCTTTTGGAGCAGGTTTGCATGTGGATGGGAATGATCACTTCCAGAGGGAGGAACTGATCATGGCAGAAGAGGAGGGGAATGAATGAGGCACTGTAATGCTTAGGAAGGTGAGAAGAGTTGGGATTAAAACCATAAGAGATGGGGTGTACATTTAAAAGGAACAAGGATACTTGTGTTGTAATCTGTTAGATACCAGTAGGTTTGTAAATTTTGGTGTTGAAACCATGAGGGAGTTCTGATCTGACTGCACAAGCAGGGGTGTAAGAAACTTGACAGAACACAGATTCATGGGAGGCACTTTTTCCTGTCCTTTTTTTGGTTAAGCAAATCAGTATATTTTTTGTAGCTATAGAAGTGAGCTCTCTGGTGGCAGGAAAGGCTACTGTAAATTTTTCTCAGAAGATAAATGGATCCAAAGCACCCCATTTTCATACTTTTGCCTGCTAATGTGGTTCAGAAACATATTTCAGGATATCAGACTTAATCTGATTGTTTCCTTTTTAACCAGAAAGAGCTGACAAATTCTGAAAACTATTTTTGGTCAAAAGTATGGCTGTAATTGAGATTTAATAATTAGACTCAAAATTAGAAAGAATTATTTGAAATCTATACTTGAGCCTTTCTGTTACCCTACTGGCACTTTTTTGTCTTGAAGATGGCCTTCTAGAGCTGGGTGAAATTTGAAAGTAGAATTGAGCTCAGTTCAGTCACTTGGACAAACATTTATTGAGCACCTAATGTGAGCCAGCAGCTTTGGAAGGTAGAGACCCAAATGAGAAGTGATCATTCTCATCTGTGATCCAAAGTTGTTTTTATAGTGGAGTATCTTCAGGAATAAAAAGTAAAAATTCTCCCTGCTGGCCTTCTTTTTGTACTATAAATTCAAGCATAAAAGGTCGTATTAAGCATCAATCTCTAGGGTCATGGGAGCTCTAGAAATGTACCATGTAATTTTAGGGCAGCATGACATGGCACTACAAGGATTGGCAGATCTGTGACACTAGCCTTCAGGGAAAGAGATGCAAGAGTCGGTTATTGGCCAGCTACTGACTGTATGGAGCAAGACTTTGAAATTCTGTTTTCTGTTACTTACAATGGGACTGCAATCATCAGCTCACCCTGTAAGCCTTAGGTGCTTATTTTTTTTTTGCAAGGTAGTTGCAAGTAGAGCATGCAGTAGAAGCACTAACATCTCTCAGTGAAGTCCTGTGGTTGCCCTCAGGTGGCTCCCACAACCAGGACTCTCCAGCTCGATGCCACCACACTAACAGGAAGATCAGCACACTCCATAGCACTTTTGAACCCTAGTCTGTGGATCCTTCCCAAGTCCCTTTGTCACTTAATGTCCTTCCTTCCACCCTGTGTACTCAATGTCCCGTATCATTTCTGTACCTATCACCACTACTCATTTAAAATTTCTTAACACACAAATTCCCATGACCTGACCCCTGAGCTCTCTCCAGCCTCATTCTGTGCCACACCCCAGGCTCGCTCCATGCATATTAAACCTCTCTGGGTCCTTGCCCATCTCAGGTCCACCGCAGCACTGTTGCCTCTCCCGGGAACATACTCCTCATCCCTACCGGGTTCTAATCATGATTCACATTTCAGCTGAAAATTACTTTTTTTGAAGAAAGACAAGCTTAGTTGCTTCTGTTATTTGCCCCTTCAGCACCAAATTCTTCTAAACAGTCTGCACACTGCTAATTATTTACCTAATGATTCATAACTACTAATGTCTCCCTTCTCATTGTAAGAGCCAAAAGGGAGAAACTTCTCTTTTGTTCACCACTTTTTCTCCTGTGCCACACACACTGCCTGACGTATGGCATGTGCTCAGTAAATATTTGCTAACTGACTTTTGAATCTCCTTTGAGGTGAGGCATGATAGTGTGTTAATTTCTACTTCTCTCTAATACAGTGCTTGGTATACAGAAGGTGCCCAGTAAAAACTTATAAACTAATACATAAATGATTTCAAATTCCATATTATATTTATTTTCAAAAAAGAATCTTAAGACATAAAATTAAAGCCATTATCTTCAGTAGTGTATATATTTACTATAAAAAAGGTATATTGCAAGGCTAACTAGATTAACAAAATAATTTAAATATTCAGGGCCCATTTTTTTGTTGTTGAACTGTGTTTATGAAAACCGTTCACTTAAAGAGATTTTTAGTTTTTCACTCTACCTTGTACTTTGCTTTTGGATAAAAACTTTTTTATTGTAAAAATGTTTTTAATATGAATAATTGCTAGCTAGTACATTTTCTTTATTGTCAGGTAACAGCCTATTATAATTCTATTTGTAGGTGTTCTATTAAAAACCAAAATCCATAAGGAGCTTATATATCATATAAGAAACAGAAATTATTTATCTCACGGAGTATTTCCTTAGAAAACTGATGGCAGATAATCTTGAAACTCAGTACAGAAGCTTGTTTCTGGCTATAAAACAAGGATATTAATAGGTATCTCTTATATGTGAAACCCTGCTAAGGAATTCCCTCTTTGAAAAGCAGAAGTTCATACTACCTGGAAATAGCTGCTGACTCCCTACATTAATGGTAGCTGGAGAAAACATGGCCTGTATCACCCAGAGGCTTAGACTTTGATGTCTCTAGCACCTCATAAGTTGAATACAATTTAATTGTCAGTAAAAGAAAGCAAGTCAGGAAATTTTCAAATCTTTTAAAAGTAGGTAACAACACTACTTTGACCATTAGCACCAAAGTCTGAAGTTGACTCCACATCTTAGATTTCAGAAAATCATAAATAATCTAACTGTTTAGATTTTACTGGGTCTAATACACAAGCAGACTTCACAGATAGGTCTTCATGCATCTGCTTCTGAACTTCTCTGGTTCCCCGAGTTCTTGGTCACAGGTCTGTTTCCCCAGCTGCACTAAGTGTTCCTCAAGGACCCGGCACGGAGTACACACTCAAAATAAGTGAATGACTTGGAAATATCTTTTTGAAGAAAGTTTTTGTTCCACCTTAATTTTTACCACTTAGCAAGACATGTTTAATTATTACTTCTGTTAGAGAAACTATCTTATGTGTATAAAATATACTGGGAGGATTTTAGGTTATTGTACTTAGGACTTAGGAGAGCATTAGGGTTCATAAAAAAGGAAGTATTTGCTACACTGTAACCAAAAGTTTTTTCCATTCTTCCCTCAAGTTATTCCTAATCTTTGTTTGAATATGTAATAAATATGTTTTTCCTTCAAGTTTATGATCACAAAGTTCAAGTAAACTTTGAAATGACTGTTTTGTTCTTCCAAGGTGTAAATCCTAAGAACGTGTCCTTCATAGCCAGTGGAAAGGATATGAGCCCGTATACTTGGAATAATCAGTTATTTCCTAAGTCATTGGGACCCATTGGTGCAGAACTTGCTTTCAAAAGGCATAATGCAGGTAAAGCAAGAGTACATTTAAAGTATAAATTTTCATTGTTTTTCTTCTGCAGATTTTTACTTTTAAATACATTGCAGCTGCCTCCTTGCAACCAAGATACCCCTGGGGGAACACAAAGGTTTTCCAACTGGTACTTGAGCACAGATAGTTTTAAGGGAATCATGTGCCAGATCACAACTTCCATGTGGATTATATCCTAAAATGAATCTGCCTGAACAAGAGTTTCTGTTCTCCTACCTTACAAAAGAAAAGAAGACTTCTCACTGTTTACCATGGTGTGTTTCCTATTTCCCCAAAGTGTAAAAAATAAAAACACCTGGGTTACCTAATGAAAGGGACAGTTTCATTAATTTGGTGTCAGTATTGAGAAAGTGATTGGGGAACAAATCCTTGTTAAGTAAAGTGGTTTCCAGTTCTTTAAAAAAATCGAAGGAGAACCTAATTGCGTTATTAGCTGAGAGATAATTAAAAATCACTTTTTGTGAGGTCACTATGTGATTTTTGGTCTATAACTTCTCATAAAGTGCAATGACTACAGTGATGAAGCTGTAGCAAAACACTTTTCATTCCTAACTTCTTGTTGACATTGACAAGGTTCTCCAGTGCTTCCATCTTTAAAAATGGGGGGAAAAAAAGGCAATAGAATAAGTGTTGAACACTGTCTAGTTTTAGCAATAAGTAATGTCATTTATGGTTACATGAACTACTTGAAAAAGGTCCCATTTTCTCATTAATAGATGAATTCCCCCCAAATAACTTTTCATGTGTAATCAAAATTTAGATACTTTTTCATTAATTATATATAATGAATCATTGTAATTATAACTAACTTAATCCAGAAGAGTATTTCAATATGCTTATGTTACAAGAAATTTTTTAAGGTTTCAATTTATGCATTTTGAGTGATCAGTTTAAAGACTTTTAAGCCTAAAATTATTATTTGGGAGTTAAGTTATGAATGAAAGTAAAACTCTAGAGAGAAAAGAGATTATTGTGAAATTTCCAGCTGTTAAAGATAAAACCTATTCATGTGTTTCTTAGGTTAATATTGGTAGACATAAAATCAGTATAGCCCTGGCCAGGTACTCAGTTGGTTAGAGCATCATTCTGATACTCCAAGGCTGTGGGTTTGATCTCTGGTCAGGGCACATAAGAAAACAATCAATGAATGCATAAATAAGTGGAACAACTAATTGATGTTTCTCTCCCCCTCCCCTTCTCTCTCTAAAATTAATAAATAAAAAGTTTAAATAAAAAATCGCTATGGTATATAGACTCCATTGGTTATATTTAAAGAGATGTAATAGTTTTATTTTTAAATATCTATAATTACAACATGCCAGAAATCTTTTAGAACTGTAAAACTTATAATGAAAAACTTTAGATATCAGTTTAAAGTATATGAAGAAGTAAAGAGGGTTTTTTAAAAAAATATATAGGTGGTTTTCAATCAAAAACATTTGAGGATTACTCTCTAGCAATTGAGTCATTATGAGGTGACATCTACACACCTTGGAGCATTTTTCAAGTTTTCCAGGCACACTGAAGACTCAACTTACCCATTTATTAAGTGCAGAAATATCAAACACTGTGACACTTGAATTTACTAACTTTTCCTCAGTTTTTTAAAAATAATATTTACTGAACCAACTGATGAATGAGTTTAAATGATAACACTACAACTTTGAGTCTTGGGGAATGAAAGATTGGCACCAAATGAAAGCTGTGAGAACATCAGAAGTATTTTTCATATAAAGAGTTCTTTCTGGATCTTTTCCCTAATCATCTAATTCATTTTTCTCTGCTTTTCTTAAAATATTCTCCCTATTATTCTTTCTTTCCAATCTGCCTTCTATTTAGAAGAAAGCATAATTAAACCAATTGAAAAACTATCATGCAGTGAAAGTTATCCTGAAAAATTAGAGGACCCACAAGGTAATTTCTGGGCATTATAGATGAGTACATCTTGTTCTTTGAATCTCTTGTTCAATTTTCTTGTCAACATTTACCCCAAATCTTGTCATGAAAGGCCATTATGAAGGCCAAGGTCTCCTACTTTTAGGAGTCAGACCAGGCCCAGGAGAAGGAGACACATTCCACATCAAGAACATCTTTCTTCAGTAGTTGGCATTCTGAGACTAATTTGCTCTCAAAAAGCTCCATGCTTGTCTTCTTAAATTAATAATGACATTTATACAAATCAAGTAAATCTATTGAAAAGGATATTTTCTAATTTTGTAATAGATATTCCTGGAATTTTTTCAAGTTCTGAAACTTATTTCTTAAGCATTAACAATCATTTAAAAGAAAAAGATACCCAGGTTAATAGAAATGGTGGATTTCCTAGAGAGTTGGTGTTGGTACTTTAAACAGTATGGACTATTGGCTCCAACCAAAAATTTGCAGCTCACAAGGTACTTCAAACATAAAGCCGAAGTAATTTAAGAAGACTTCATTTTCTACACATTTTGCCTTAGCAGCTTCTTTCTCCAATAGGAAGCAGCCTCCTAGAACTGTTCAGTGCGTGGCTTTTAGAGTCCAGCATGCCCCATTCTGCTACTCACTAGCCTTGCGACTTTGGACGAGTTATGTAGTCTCCCTGAGTTAAGTTACTTTCCCCATCTGTAAAATGGAGGAAATCGTATTTACCCAGGTAGTATTATATAACCATTCCTAGGGTTTTTGTCAAACAGTAAGCATTGAATAAGTGTTTGCTCTGATGATGAGGATGAGAATGAGAGAGATGGTCTGAAGTTGCTATTGAATGTGGTCACTGCCTTGAACTTCCTTTCAAAGAGTCTTGAAGAAAAGGACTGATTTGAGATTTAAAATGAGTACTGGAGGGAAAAGAAAGATCAAAATAGGCAGCTGCACTTATACAAGATTCAGCAATGTTAAAAATTGTATAAACTGGTAACATTTACTGTGCAAAATCCATTAAAGTCTGATAAGTAATATTGTTGTTTGGTTCAAGAGCAGACACTTATTGACAGTCTACTGTGCATAGCATCATGACAGACATCAGGGACACAGAAGGTCAGAGTCCATACTTGGGAACAAATAATGTCGTGTAAAAATGCTTTGGTGGTAGCTACCAAATGAACAGGTCTTTGAAGCTACCAAAACTATCAGCACTGTATCACCTTTTCTGTGACCAGCTTGTCTCCTTTCTGGCAAAGCTAGCTTTCTTGAAAGAGCAGTTGTATTCATTTTTCCTCATATTTCCAGGCTGCTCAACTCACTGTGGTTTATCTCTAGATTATTGAAACAACTCCTGCAAAGTCCTGGAGTTATTCTAGTGGCCAGATCCAATGGGTCCCTTGGCCTCTGTGCCTCACTTATTATTCCTTCTGTCTTCACACACTGCATTCTCTTGAATTTTCAGACCCTGTTCTTCCTACCATCTACCTTTCTATTCACTCTGCCCCACCGGGTCCGTTCATTTCCCTTAACGCTGGTGTTCCCTGGAGTTCTCTATTCTTGGTCTTAGCTCATCTTGCAGTCCCTCTGAGATCACTCTGCCAAACCAACAGCCCCATGAGCACCATACTTGATCATTCCAAGGCTCCCAGCCTGCTCCACCTCTGCGACTTGAATGTCCACAGGCACAATATCTTTCCCCAAACCTGAGTCTCCTCATATTGTTGTTAGTCACTTAAAGGTCAAATATACAGGGTCCAGCAGAAGTGAGGCCTGCGTGAGTGTGGATGGTAGGGCAATAATGTGGGTGTAATAATTTATAGATTTAATTTGAACATTTCACCTAAAATGTCAAATGGTGTGCTTGAATGTGATACTGTTATGTTACAGAATTACATGCTCATGATTTTGTAATAAAAGATTTTGTAGTAAAAAGGGATGTTATTTGTGCTGGACCCTGTATATCTTTTTCCCTACCCCACCTGTCCCATGTACCCGCTCAGTTCCCCTCTTCTCCATCCCCTCTATGACTGTGTTAGTTCAGACCTTTATGATTTCTCATTTCAGCTCTAGCAGTGACTGCCTGACTGGTCTCCTGCTTTAGATTCTTCCCTTTCACCCCACCCCTAGATTGCCTCTAGATGGGTCATTTACTAATAGCGATGCAGATGATGACGATTCGAGGAGGATGGCAGCTGACACTTGCTGAACACCAGATTCTGTGCCAAGTGCTTTGCATACATCTCGTTCAATCCCTACAACAACCCTATGAGGACAGGTGCACTTTACTGTGATTTTACAGAAGAAAGATGAGCACAGAGAGCACCACAGAGGTGGGGGCTTCCTGGCAGGAAATACCCCCATGTTAGGAACTGGGACCATAAAAAACTGCTATGTTCAGGGAGAACTCAGCCTTGCATTCTGATTCTAGCTCAATCACTCACTGTGAGAACTTAGGCAAGTTCTAATAGCCACAAGGTGTGGATAATAACATGCATCTACAAGGGTTGTTATATGGACTGAACAGGAATATCTGTTAAACCATAGTGCTGTGCCTGAAATATAGTAGCTGCTCAAAAAGTAGAATTTAGAATTAGTAGGGGTAGAATTCAGTGTTACTCTCTGGTGCTTTAAAATATTTGCCTTCTGACAATGAAACTTTATGTGATACATTACTAGGAAATCTTGGAAATTATGCAACTTACAGTCCGTCAAGATATATTCCTTCCTTTCTCAAAAAAGAAGTGGGGTCAGCTGGCCAGAGGATCCACTTAGCACCTCTCGGTGCAACAGCTTCAGGTAAGAACAATTTTAGATACAGTTTTTGGGAATTATGATCAGAAAGGAGCATTTTAAGGTTTCTACAGTCACTTTTCCCCAGTGAACTTAAATTAGTCTCACATTATTGACAGCAGTTCTAATTGGTTTTGGAAAAATGCCCTGGTTTCCATCCAGAGCTGTGGTTTGAAAGTCCAATAATTGTAAGAGCTACCTCTAATTGTTGTAAGTGGTAACTCTCTGCCAGATATGCAGATTTAATCCTCACAATGACCTGATGAGGTAGACCTCCTTTGCGGAGGAGGGAACTGACAGTTAAGTAATTTACCTGACGTCACACAGCTAGAAAAAAATGGTGGAGCTGCAATAGAAACTTATGTCTGTCTAATTCCACAGTCTGCTGTGTTGCATACATCATGAGACATGAGAAGATGCATTTTTTCAGAGCTTCCTGCCCACTAACTGGTACAGAGTGAAAGCTTAAAAATGTTGAGACTGTGTGATGTGTCAGTTAACAGGCCATTCCTCTATGTTTCCATTCTAGAGTATAAGACAACTGTGGCATAACTTGCACTGACTTTTGCTTTGCCGGTGGTGAAAGGTTATGTTCCTTCACCCTCCAGTGTTATGACTGACCAGGTCACCTGGTCTGTACTGGTGAGGCATATGACAGCCACATTCAAGGGTACATTCTTAAAACTGAGGGTGGTGATTTTGTACTTGAGCTGACCAGATTTGACAATGAATGTTCTCTAAATTTTTGTAATCTAAAATAGATAACCTCATTAAAGCATATAAAATGGCCATTAAGGCAAATAATTGGAAGTTTGATAAGATAACTAGTTATAGTTTAACTTAAAACTTGACTCCAAAAGTATTCTCATAGACTATCCTAACCAGGGTCTTACATTAAAACTCCTGATTAGAGTTGCTAACCTTAAAAGCTCACACTGTTGGAGCTGAAATTATAAAAAGTGCTGAACTTTTGTAATTTTATATCTCTTACTACAGTAGAACTGCTTAAACAATACTCAGTTATCTTGTCTGTAAAAAGAATTGCTTCATTATCTCTCTGTTAAAACACAATATATAAACATTTAAAATGTTTAAATGTAGAAATAATTTTTATGAAGCCTCAAGTATTTTAAGCCAGACTTATGAGTTATTAGCCATGTCTTAGTAGCAATTTTTCATGTAAAAGCAGAAAATCATAATGTTTTAAATTATTTTGTTACCTGAGTACCTGCTCTTAGAAGGTGAAATTAGGTATTTTTAAACATATTTTTATAAGATACTACAACCTTTTTATATTAGTTATTCTGTCATATTATCATGCATATTCCTGTTTTCATTTTTTTAAACTAAATGCTTTCTCATAACGTCTCATCTCTTCATTTATTCTGCTTATCAGATTTTCCTACAGATGGTGATAGGAGGAAAGGTAAAAAAAAAAAGAAGTAAATACTAATCATTTGCAAGTGGTCAATGCAAATCCTTAGGAAAACACTGTTCTGTAAGAGATGTGTCATCCAGTCCTCCCACTTGTGTGGCAGTTTCCCACAAGAAAATAAAACCAGGTCATTACCATGTTTACTCAACTATTTCCCCTTCTCTCATAGTCTCCCTTTCCACTGTTTCTCTTCCTTACTCTCAAATTTTGAGGAAAAAAGTCATTAACTTTTTCCTCCCTCCCCTTATAATCTCTCATCCCAAACTTCCTAAAACCTCCTCATCCCCTGTTCTGATGGTAACAAGGACTTGAGAAGTGACTTTTTTTTTTAAGATTTCATTTATTTATTTTAGAGCGGGGAAGGGAAAGGAGAAAGAGAGGGAGAGAGAACTCAATATGTGGTTGCCTCTCACATGGCCCCACTGGGGACCTGGCCCACAATCCAGGCATGTACCCTGACTGGGAATCTAACCAGTGACCCTTTGGTTCGGAGCCTGTGCTCAATCCACTGAGCTACACTAGCCAGGTAGAGGAGTGACTTTCATATGCAGCCGCCCATTAGGGCCCTGTACCCAAGAGCTCTATAGACATTAACTCATTTAATCCTCCCAGTGACTCTATTACAGAAGGTACTACAGGGTGGGCAAAAGAAGGTGTACAGTTACATGTGAAAGTTGATTCTTACATTATTATTCATTATTTATTGTATTATTTTCCATGTGAAAAACTGTAAACCTACTTTTACCCCACCTTGTATTAAAATCTCCATTTTATGGAGGGTATTTTTCTTTTTTGTATCTTGCTAAAAGTTATATAGTATAGTGGCACTGATGAAATTCTTAACTAGAGGCAAACACCCTTTCTGTTACCAAACATTTTCTACAAGAAGTTAAATGCCCTTGATAGGACACATGCAGTTGTTACAGTAAACACACAGCAAGGATTAGAGGCTGACTGGCTTCCGGGAGTGCTAAGGTGCAGGGCCTGGTCCAGCTGAATCAGGGACATTTCTTGCCCTGCCATGGGGCCTGGGCTCCTTTGTCAGTGACTACACTTTTTACCAAAACTATTGAATCCTAAAACTATTATTTTTCAGAAAGAAATCCTGAATGTCAACATTTTGCCTTCTTGGCAAAATGATTCCTTCGTTGAAAGTTTTACAAACCTTGGTCTGGACACAGTTTTCTTCAAATATATTTAGGACCCAACTTGAGTTGCCCTGACCTGAAAAAAACTTGTCTCTTTTTGTATTCTCCAAGCCCCTCACTGCCCACCCAATGTTAGCCTAAGACTGTGTCTCCTTTCTGCTGCTCTGAGTCACCTGGGCTCATGACCTCTTTTTTTCTCCTTCCTCCACGCCCATCCCCTCACACATTGTCTCCTCTGTCCATGGGACCATTTTGACATGCAAACCTTGGGTGAGCTCACTAACTGAACAGACCAATGCTTGTTCTGTGTTCCAGTTGATTAGAACTAAAGAGCTTTCCCTGGAGCACTTAACTGGCCCTTTTAGATACTTTGTCTCTACCTTTGTTAGATAGCTTTTTGCTAGCTTTACCTTTGAGAATTTTTAAACCTTTGAGTTAAGAGTAGGATGAAATGACCTTTCAAACCACCAAGGGGAGAGGTCCTGGCCTCTCTGTCTCAACCAAACTACACAGCAGGCAGTGACTAATCACCAGGGTGGTTCCTCACTTAATGCCTTGTTCCCTTTAAGCTGAGGTTAGCAGCACACCAGGACCCACGTGCTCCCATAACTTCCTCCTACATTCCCAATTTTACAGTGAAAGTACAAAAAAAAAAAACAGGTAAACCACACAGGTAGGGTATATGAAATAGTCAGAACCATATCAAAATTCACTCAGAGTTTACTCCAAGAATGCCACTGACACACAGTGTGAAAAGATATTTAAATCCCAAATAGAAAGCTTAAATAACCCTCCTTAGAATACCTGATACCTAGCTTGCAGTTTGAAGTGAGGAGAGGGTGATGGAGGAACTGCAGATATTAAAGTTCTCTGTGAAGCGATTTACTGCTTTACCATTTGAGATGCTCAAGCAGCTTGAACATAAATTGTTCAGATAACAAATGTTTAACAATTTAAAATTTTGCACAATTTTAGTAAGCCAAATGTATGAATAAAACAAACCTTTTGATGGGAAGGTTTGGGGTCCTAGGAATGGCTCACCTTTTAGAGGGATTCTGTTATCATCCATCCTTTTTCCCAATAAAAAATTAAAATTTTTAACTTTAAAAGCCACATTTTAATGTTTAAAAAGAAATCTAACATGTAGTTCCATGAAGCCAGAGCTTTACAGAATTCACAATTCTGTATACACCCTTCTGTAGTTATACTGTGTTTGAATATCATTTAGATATTAACTACAGCGTAATTTTATAAAGTCACAAACCCTGTGGGTATTGCCTATTGAACTTGAACATTGTAATTGGGTGTTACCTATCCAAATGATGAGCAGTTCATGAACCCAGATAAGAACAGAGTAGCAGTGTCAGGAGTATAAACCAGAAATAATGGCTCTGAAGCTACTGAAAATTCTAATTGGTGTCAACAAAATACTACACTAGAATTTTTGGTTTTAATGTTTAAAAAAAATTCTTATTAGAGACTACTGAATTAATCTTTTAAAGATAAATTCAAAATCTCCCCATAAAATGAAAGGCTGAATCACTGTGTTTTGAATTCAATTTTATCAAATAAAATTCTAGTTTCTGATCCTGATTTCTTTCAGAATATACCTGGAACACAAAAACTGGTCGGGGGAAATGTTCAGGACCTACTTACAATCCTACAGCCAAGAATCTAAATGTTGTGAACCGTGCACAGCCAGTTCCCTCAGTGCATGGGAGGACGGACTGGGTGGCCAAGTATGGAGGCCACCGGTAGGAGCCTGGTGCAACAGCCCCCGGGAAACGTCTGCGGATGTCTGCTACTGAGTTCTGGAAGACAGATGTAATAGTGGGCACTTTGAAGAGCAAAAATCATTCCCTATTTTCTTTCCTAGAAATGAAATGCATTTTATTGGCTTCACTGCCCTTGTATGGGTAGGACCGACATTTAGTTAGGACTTTACAAAGTATTGAATAAACTATTTGCCAAAGTATCAAGTATTTGATGTACAAATTAATAGATACTAAGTACAAGAAGCTTTTGTTAAAAATGCTTCCTGAAGTGTTTAGTGTTTTAGTTTTCATGTGTTGTATATTTGCATAAACTACTTCATATTTCATCATTTGGCCTCAGAGGTTTTGTTATGTTTTTTTTTATAGCAATTAGGTAGGCCATGGATGATGCGGGCTGTCAGTTATAGTTCTTATTGGCCAAGACTCTGCTCTACCACTTTGGCGATGGCAGAAGAATGGTAATTTATCATTTGTGTTTCTATTTTGAAATTACAGAAACAATTATAATGCCAATCTTGAGCAGGATGTCTTTCTTAGAAATAAATTTATATTTAACATAGATTTAAATCTAACATATGTTAAATCTTAACATATAAATCTATATTTAACATAGATATTTCAAAATTATGCCACCTTATTTTAGTGGGAAAAGAACCTATTGTTTAATTTTGACCAGTACAGCTGCTACGAAGTCATGCTAAACATCACACTCAATGGCTTGATGACTCCCAAATGAGCCAAGTGAGGGTTCTCCCATGTTCACATCAAGAAAGTTCTTAAAACTATGATGTGTGTTCACCAGACTTGCAAAACACTTTTGTCTCCCTGCTCCTGCTGGATGTGTAAGGGTGAGGATGTCAACTGGATGCCCAGAGCAGCACAGTGTTGCTGCTGACTGTTGACTCAGCCCTGACCCTCACATTCGCTCTGAAGAGCAAATGCATTCAGCTGCTGTGGCAGTGACTTCACATAGTACATTTTTTGTCTTAGTTTTATTTCTAAATTGGTATTTAAAATAGACATTTTGAACAGGACAACTCTAAACCTGCCATTTTATGGACTGGACATTAGTACTCTATATTCTTTTTAAAGAACAATGTTATCAACTGATAATTTTATGTATTTTATGACTTTGTAGTAATTGCTAATTAATTGGTATCATCTTATGAACATTATCCAAAGGCTTATTATAGTAATAATATGGTATTTTCGTATAGAATACTCAGCTCTCCTTGTTGAAAATTGTTAAAATCTAAAGAATGATTTATGTTGTTGGTAATGGTTATATTTGTACAGTTTTATTTGCTGTGTCAAAACTAAAATTTTTTTTTGTGTTGCTGGGACTGTTTAAACACTGGATAGATATTAAAATTAATATGCTTAACTAGTATCTTTTCTGTACACTTTTAAACTTTGTACTTATACTCTGAAGCCTATTTGTTGTTTTAATTAGTCAGCTTTGGTTTGTTTGGGTTTTTTTAAAAGCAGTTTTATGTTTATGGAAAAATTGCACGAGAGGTACAGAGTTTCCATATTTACTCCCTCATCACCTCCTCCTCAAATTTCTTCTATTATTAAATACATCTTGCATTAGTGTGTGACATTTGTTATAACTAATGAACCAATATTGACACATTGTTAACTAAAGCCCACAGTTTACATTAGGGTTCACACTTTGTGTTGTACATTATAGGGGTTTTGACAAAAATGTATGACATGTAACTACCTTTACAGTACTATACAGAATGGTTTCACTGCCCTAAAAATCCCCTGTGTTGTACCCATTCATCCCTTTTTCCTCTCCTCAAACTTCTGGCAACCACTGATCATTTTATTTGCCTCCATTTTTCACAATGTCATACAATTGCTCTCTTTCACTTAGAAATTTACATTTAAGTTTCCTCCTTGTCTTTTCTTGGCTTGATATCTCATTTCTGTTTATCACTAAACGATACTGCATTGTTTATTATTTACCAGTTTATTTATCCATTCACCTACTAAAGAACATCTTGGTTGTTTCCAAGTTTTGGCAATTATGAGTAAAGCTGCTGTAAACAATCATGTGCATGTTCTAGTGTGGAAATCAGTTTTCACCTCATTGGGGTAAATTCCAAGGAGCATAATTGCTGGGTCATATGGTAGGAATATGTTTAGTTTTGTAAGAAAGAGTCAACTATCTTCCAAAGTGACTACCATTTTTGCATTCACACCAGTGATGAGAGTTCCTGTTGCTCCACATCCTTGTCAGCATTTAGTGTTGTCGAGTTTAGATTTTGACCATTTTAATAAGTATGTGGTGGTATTGTGTTATTTCAATTTGCAACTCCTTAGTGACATATGGCGTGGAGCATCTTTTCACATGCTTATTTGCTATTTGTGTATCATCTTTGGTAAACTTTTGCTCATTTTTAAGTTGTTTTCTTATAGTTGAGTTTTCACAGTTCTTTATTTTGGTTAACAGGTCTTTATCAGATATGCCTTTTGCAAATGTTTCTTCCCTGTCTGTGACTTGTCTTGTCATTCTCTTAGCATTATCTTTTTCAGAGTGTAACTTTTTAATTGTAATGAAGTCTAATTTATCAATATTTTGTTTCATGGATCATGCTTTATATATATATATATATAAAGCATGATCCATGAAACTATATATATATATATAAAAATATATATTTATGCTTCTTATTCCCTGTACCTTTTCCCCTACTCTCCCCCTCGCCCTCCCTGCTGATAACCCTCCATGTGATCTCCATTTCTGTGGATCCGTTCCTATTCTAGTTGTTTGCTTAGTTTTTGGTTTTTTTTAGGTTTGGTTGTTGATAGTTGTGAGTTTGTTGCCATTTTACTGTTCACATTTTTTATCTTTTTCTTACATAGGTCCCTTTAATCTTTCATTTAATAAGTGGTTGGTTTTGATGAACTCCTGTAACCTGACCTTATCTGGGAAGCACTTTATCTGTTCTTGCATTCTAAATGATAGCTTTGCTGGAGAGAGTAATCTTGGATGTAGGTCCTTGCCTTTCATGACTTCAAATACTTCTTTCCAGCCCCTTCTTGACTGCAAGATCTCTTTTGAGAAATCAGCTGACAGTCTTATGGGAACTCCTTTGTAGGTAACTGTTTCTTTTTCTCTTGCTGCTTTTAAGATTCTCTCCCTATCTTTAATCTCGGGTAATGTAATTATGGTGTGCCTTGGTGTTTTCCTCCTTGGGTCCAACTTCTTTGGGACTCTCTGAGCTTCCTGGACTTCTTGGAAGTTTATTTCCTTTTCCAGATCAGGGATGTTCTCCTTCATTATTTTTTCAAGTAAGTTTTCAGTTTCTTGCTCTTCCTTTTCTTCTGGCACCCCTGTGATTTGGATGTTGAAACATTTAAAGTTGTCCCAGAAGTTCCTAAGCCTGTCCTCATTTTTTTGAATTCTTGTTCCTTCAGTCTGTTCTGGTTGAATGTTTAGTTCTTCCTTCTGCCCCAAATTGTTGATTTGATTACCGGTTTCCTTCCTTTCACTGTTGGTTCCCTGTACATTTTCCTTTATTTCACTTTGCATAGCCTTCACTTTTTCCTCTATTTTGCAACCATACTCAACCATTTCTGTGAGCATCTTGCTTACCAGTGTTTTGAACTCTGCATCAGACAGGTTGGCTATCTCTTCATTGCTTAATTGTATTTTTTCTGGAGCTTTGATCTGTTCTTTGGTTTGGGCCATATTTTTTGTCTTGGCACACCTGCTACATAGTAAGGGGTGGAGCCTTAGGTACTCACCAGGATGGGGCAATCCACTTGCCTGCATTGTGACATTGTATGTGGGGGAGGGGTCAGGGAGTGAACAGTGCTGCTTACTCAGTTCTCCGTTGACTATCAGTCACTTCCTCTGCTACCCACAAGCGATTGGGCCCTTCTGGTGCTGGTTTCCAGGTGGATGGTTTCATATACATTCTAGGATCCTATGGCTCTCTCCAATGAAATTTGTGAGGCTGGGAGTTTCTCCTGCTGCTTAAACCCTCACAGATTTTTTTTCAGTCTGAGGTTTTGAGGCTCTATTTCCCTCCACTGGAACCCTGGGTTGTACAGTCTGTCTCACTCCCAGTTGTTCCTCCCTATTTATTCACATGCAAATGTTGGACCGCCCAGTCCTCCAGCCACTGCCTTGCCTTGAGTCCTCCCCACCGCTCCTACTGGATTAGATGAATTTATCTTTAACTCCTTGGTTGCCCAACTTCCATACAGTTTGATTTTCTGGCAGTTCTGGTTATTTTCTGGTTTTAAATTTGTTGTTGTCATTCTTTTGATTGTGCAAGGAGGCAGAGTATATCTTACTTATGCCTCCATCTTGGCCAGAAATCTCATGGACCATGCTTTCAATGTGGTATGTAAAAATTCATCACCAGCCCTGGATGCTGTGGCTCCATTGCTTGGAGCATCATCCCGTGGACCAAAAGGTGGTGGGTTCAGTTCCCAGTCAGGACATGTCTAGGTTGCAATTTGGTCACTGGTTGGGGTGTGTACGAGAGGCAACCAATTGATGTTTCTCTCTGATGCGGATCCTGGCCTACAGGATCCATGTGTTATGGTTGCTATGAACAAATACAACTACAGAAGTCCTGTGGAGAGAAAGGGACAGCATGGCCACTCTCTGAGAGAGAGAAAGAGAGGGCCCCGGCCCCTGCCCAGACAGGCTTTTATTGCTTTTCTGGGCACATTACATTGAGGATGGTCCTCATTAACTAGCACAGGTTCACTGCAGGTGATCACCTTTTACAGATAACAAAGGAAAGAATGTTGCTAATTACTTCAAAGAGAAGGGTGTTGCAGACCAAGGGGAAAAGTGTTTAAACCAATTACACTCCATACTTGGGAGGTTTAGCACAGACTTTAGGAAGTTACAGTAAGCACTTGCTGCCTCAATTCAGGGTGAGGGAGTTTTAGCAAAAGTAAAAGTCTCACAGCAGTCTAGGTACAATGCAGGCCTGATTCCCCACAGGAAAACCTCTCTGTGGGCTTGGGTCCTGTGTGCCGACTTGCTTCCCACTGGTTTTCCAAATGAGAGCTGAGCCACCTTGCCATGCCATGTGAAACGGCTCCCAACATCTCTCCCTCCCTACTTCCCTCTCTCATGCATCAATGAGCATGTCCTTGGGTGAGGATGGGTAGATAAATAAGTTGTCACCAAACCAAGGGTTACCAATGATTTGCTCCCCTAATTATCTTCTAGGAGTTTTATAGTTTTGTATTTTTCACTTAGATCTATGACCCATTTAATTTTTGTGAAAGATGTAAGTGTTGTCTGCATTTTTTTTATGTTGATGTTGTTCCAGCATCATTTGTTGACAAGACTCACTAGTGAACTGCCTTTACTGCTTTGTCAAAGATCAGTTAACTATATATGTATGGTCTCTTTCTGGGCTCTATTCTGTTCCATTGATTTATGTGTCTGTTCTTTTGCCAGTACCATAGTCTTGATTACTATAGATTTATATAAATTTTGAAGTCAGGTAATATCAGTCCTCCAACTTTGTTTCTCTGCTTCAATATTTTGTTGGCTATTTTGGGCCTTTACTGCTCCATATAAAGTCTTAATTAGAATCAGTTTGTCAATATCCCAAAAATAACATACTAGGATTTGGGTTTTGATTGCATTGAATCTAGATCATTGGGAAGACTGACATCTTGACAATACTGAGACTTCCTGTTATGTACATGGACTCTCAGATATCTTCTTTCACTTATTTTATCAGCCTTTGTCATTTTCTTCATGTAATCTTATACATTTATTAGATTATTTTAGTGCTAATGTGAACAGTATAGCTAATTTAAAATTTCAGTTCATTACTTATATATAAGCAGATGATTTTTCTGCATTAATTTTGTATCCTAATACCTGTTATAATCACATTAAATCCAGGAGTTTCTTTGAAATTTTCTACATAGACCGTCATGTCATCAGCAACCAAAAAGTTTTCTTTCTTCCTTCCCAATCAGTGTACCTTCTCTTATTGCACTAGCTATGACTTCCAGTACAATTTGAGTACTGCCTTCCTTGCCTTCCTTGTTCCTGATCTTCACTGGAAATAACTGGTTTCTCCCCAGTATGATGCTAGCTGTAGTTTTTTTGTAGATGTTCTATGGTAAGTTGAGGAAGTTCCTCCTCCTTCTTAATTTGCTGTTTTTATTATGAATGGGTGTTAGATTCTGTTGAATGTTTTTCTGCATCTATTGATATGATCATAATCATATGATTTTAGTTTCTACCCCATTGATGTGATAGATTACATTAATTGACTTTCAAATGCTGGACTAGTTTTATATACTGATATAAATCCCACTTAGTCATGGTATGTAATTCTTTTTCTACATTGTTGGATTTGATTTCCTAATATTTTGTTGAGGCATTTTTACATCTATGTTCATATAGGTAAATAGATAGAGTGCCTAATGTTAACAATTGGTGAAGTGGTAAAACTAGGTAAAGGGTATATGGATGCTCATGGGTATAATTGAAACTTTTCTGTAATTTGAAAATTTTCAAAATAAAATGTTAAAATGAAACCACATAAATAAGGCCCTGGCTGATGCAGCTCAGTTGGTTAGAGCATCTG